CTTTTGAGAAAACTTTCGTTTTATTTTCAGTGTTATGTTAATAAACAATCTACACATGTGAATTATCATATACCTACTTCTAAGTTTTTGCATATTCTTGCAGCCACTAGGATAGCAAATTGTAGAGAATATTGCGCAGTTGGTAAGCTAACATACTAATTAGTTAGCCAAACAAGCAATATAAAAACATACCTAATTAAAAATAAATTAGGTAATTCTTAGAAGTATTTGGATGATTTATAGTGAGGTTATTGCTCAGGTGATAAAAATGTTACCTAAGAAACTGCCTTTTTCAATATTATGAGACCAAATGTGTACAGAAAACAGCACAACAAGCTGTCCATTTTCTTTGCAAAATAGCTCCTATTGCATCTACATTAGACCTATAGTGTATAGATTGATGTGCATTTGACTAATTAGCCAAAAAAGCCCAAGATTGCAGCCATCCCAACGCAAATCCATTTTAATTGCACCATCGCACGCGCACACTTCGCGCACACTTTTACAATCGCGTGCGCGCGCGCATTACGCGGGCGGCGACGCAGCCTAATCTGCATTTCTCTCGTTTTTACTATTGTCTTCCCACCTTTATGCCACAGCGAGGAAGCACTCTGTCATGTATGCTAGTGGGTTTTGTTTTTCGATCGTGAGAGGTGTGCATTCTTAGTCACAACATTCCATCCAATAGGATTCTGTAGTGAGCATTTTGTTTGCATTTATTATGCGAGTAGTTGACGGTTTTGCATATTACAAAAGAGTGATTGTGCGTTTTTCTGATCTTATGTTATCTAGGAGTATGAGAACACCTCTAGTAGATGTAGAACGTGTAGGTAATACATATTATTTTAAGCCCAACGTGTAAGGCCAGCTGCAGCGTGCAGAATACCAAATCCTATTTGTATCTGGTAAATTAGAGAGGAAGAACCTAAAAACTAGTACAATACACTATTATCTGTCAATTAATCAATAATAATAACATCATCACGGGACATTGTTAAAACATGCTTTCACCGAACTGTTTGTTTGTCAGTTAAAATTATATGAAAAGGCTGAAAGTGGTGAAACTTAGATTACATTTTTGACATCACATGAAGCACGTAGCGCTTGTTAAAAAACTGATTTATCTTCTTTCGTTTTCAGCAGTTGCAGCTCGGCTATAAACGCCAATTTAGCCACTTTTATTGGATTTCAGTTGGTGTCGTGTCTCGTCAGTTACTAACAAGTAAAACGAGACACAGCGCTTTTTAATTCAGTAGAGTCGTCACACTTTGGCTCATATTTTTCACGAAAAAGATGGTTTACTCTCTTAGTTTTTGGTACTTCTTTTTCTAGTTTTTTATTTTATTTTACCGAATGATTTTAACGAATCCTTTTTACGAAGTAAAATTATAGAGGCTCAATGAATGAACTAACTTGATTGAAATATAGAGTCCTTCTAAACGAATGAATTCAAGAATACTTTTATCACTGAAATTAACTTAATTAATTAAGTAATCTAGAAAGAGAGTTAGATTTTTAGATAATTTAAATTTATTAGTGACGATTATGCTAACTTTTAAGTAGCAACAAATCGTATCGTTGAAAATCTGTAATCTTTTTTGAGTTATATTTTGCCACCAAGAATCCTCAAGGATCTGTAATTTGAAAATAATAAGAACCTCTTGTAGCAGAGCTTTGGGCTGACACTGTGTAGGTTTGCTGTCGAAACGACAAGAAGAAGATAAACCTATAGCCCAAAAGGTGGAACCTACTACACCAGCTTCCACTACCGAAAAAATAATTCTAAACCAGTGATGTATTGGTCGGATCACATTCCGCGGCGCAGTGCAGCAGTGGCAGACGTTGTCCGTAAATCGCGCCGCAACGCTTTCTGCCTGGCGGCGGGACATGAATCAATCCGGGCATAACTATTGCACTGATAACCGTATTCTGGCACTGATTGCTGATTGCTGCTGAAATCGTCATGATTAAAATCATCATGATGTTCAAATCGTCAAATCGTCATGATGTTCCAAGTTTTGAAGGCAGACACGCGAAACAGAATAATTTATTGACTGTCACGAAAAAACGCTCATGAAACAACCATTGAATAAGAGTTTGTAAAATGGTAACTACTTCTTCTTCTTATTCGTTACGCTCTTGGCAGAGCGGTCGTGGTCACGTTGAGGCATTGTTTACCTACATCGGTTGTAGAGGCGAATACAACTCTCCGCACGATCTCCCGCCATCTCTCTCTATTGGCAGACTGTCTGGTGTAGTCACATACGCCGTCTCCCACTGCTGATTTACTACATCAATTTAATAAAATTATTCATAAAATTAAAAAAATATTCTTTTTCCATATTGCCGAGCTGATTTCTTTTTACCTAAGTACTGGATATCTAAAGACGAAGAAGAAGAAGTTGCTCCACATCTCCGGAATAGGCGTACGTCATGGAGTGCCACTCATTAGCGCGCTTGTAATTAGTATCACTCCCGTTATACGTCGATTCGTTAGATTTGATTACTCGTCGCCTACGCTGAACGCTCGCACTCATAAGAATTTAAATTTTAAAGTTACAAAATGTCCAATTAGCAGTATCTGTGCCTGTTGACAGCTCAATTTAAAGTTTTGCAATTTGAGAATTGAAAATACCAATTTTAAATTTACGTTTACAAATCTCAAAGAGAAGGTTTCACTACTTTTTGTGACACGATCCTCTATACCTAAAAGAAAAGAAACCTAATTATTTTATTTTATTAGTACCTATTTCACATTATTTTGAATCAGAAGTGTTAAAATTACGAGTAGTTTCTGCCTATGCTAAGGATAAATATTCGTAGGACCTACCCAAAAGGCAGCTCGAAATTCGGTATTTACTCGAAATCAAGATGATTTTCGGTCTGCTAAAGAGATATTTGTCAAGAAGCTGCTTTTCATCTCCAGAATAGGCGTGCATCACGACACTGCCACTCATTAGTGCGCTTTTAATTAGTATTTTCACTCGCTACCGACTCGCTCCTCTGTCGCCGGCCCGTCGCCCGCCGCCCGGCGCGCACTTTCGTTCGCGTGAAACCGATCCGACTCACTCAATAAATTCGATTTAAGTTCATAATTATTCGATTGTGCGCAGGATACGTCTCGCATCCATCTTGGATTTCTCACCAATTTCCATTACAAATGAGTTTTCAGCGTGTTTTAAGAGCAAAAATAAAATCATCAAGAAATATCGTTTCTTAATGGAATGTTTGGATTTGACGGACAAATATTAGTAAACAATATTGACAAAATACAATATTTGTCTTCGATTCAGCTCAATTGTCTGTCAAATAGCAAAGAATTTGGAGGAAAGTCTTTTTTTCTGTCTCTTAATTGCCTTTCTTCTCGTTCGATAAATTCCTTTCGACGTGTACAAGTTCTAACAATATTTTTACATAACATTGAGCCGGGACTAATGAAGATTTTAAGTTCCCAAATGCAATTAGAGGATGAAATCAATCTGTGATGTTTACCCATATAATAAAACATGTTATTTCAATTTAATTTAATTACTTTAATATGATAGTAATTAATCTAATTAGTAGAAAAATTGCATCCTCAGTTTTAGCATTGACCTCTTGACTTGCACGATTACTGGCATTCTCTACAACATAATACAGGAGTGTTTATTAGCATTTGCTAACTTTTATTACGTCCGAATAAGGTTCAACATGCAGGAATGACATTCTCCTGACTGTACCCGTCCAAAAACCAGTAATTAGAGCCCACCACTACATTCAGTGGTAATTAGAGATGCAAATAGTAGCTTGTATCGCGATAATTAAAACTGAACAAACAATCGTGTTCTGGAAACATACTGATCGAAGGATGGATCAGACCGCGACTACGAAATTTGGGAATCGTAGAAAATCGTAGGACAGTTGAAGGGGCAAAGACAAGACAAATTGTGAGAAGAATTGATGGATATGATACAAAGTTTAGATATGGACGTCCAACCACTGCAGCTCCCGACAAAGATGCCAAAACCCTGATACAATCATCTTAAAGCACATGTCATGATTTTAAATAAGACATTATAAGAAAAAACGAAAAAATATTTTTAAATAAAAATAAAAAATATTTTTTCCACTGATGCGTTGATGTTTAATGTATGGGAAAACTGAATTTTGTTAAAAAATACAGACTGTCTTTTATAATTTTTACATGGTGCATCTTGAAAGATTGTTTTTAAATTGAAATAAGTCGGGTGAAAATGTTCAACATAATATAATATTCGATTTTATAATCCTTCCTTGAATTGAAAGATGTACCTACATACATTTAAAATTTTCATTAAAATATTTTCACTTAATTTATTTTATATTTCATATAATTTAAAACTAAATCGACATTTTAAGTATGTCTTATGACGGATACAATAAATCCAATTATTTCATATAGTAGGTACCTATTTTCAAACACCGTCAGTTACGTACGAGTAATCACAGTTACGCGGAATAGTTTTCCCGCAAATTAATTGAACTGAAACGTAGCGGTCCGGTCTGAAAAATAGTTCCGTGTGTTTCTCTCCAAAATCGTTCCGATCGCCTTGACCGCGGAGTAGTTCACGATCGGCGATTATCGGCGCCGGCGCAATGTTGCCGTCATTCGCGTAGCAAGCTTCTGAATGAACTCTGCGTCTATGTAGAGTCAACAGCATGTCAAACTTTACAGTTTTGTTGCAATATAGCTACTATTACGACTTCACGAGGTAACGGTTAAAAAAGTTCAGTTTCACATAATATTATACTATGGAAAGCGTAATGATGGCACAATAAATACTGAAAAATTGCTGTGAAAATTATGTAGGTACTCTGTAGTCGTATTGACTTCCTTTCCTAAAAATTTACTTCTTTTCCTCTCAATACATAAAGCGGTAGAAGTATGTAGTGTCTAACCACAGAGAGCAATAAATAATCCAAATGTTTGTCTGAAAGAGCTTTAACATGTTTCATGAAAAACATAAGTTAAACTCACGCATTCAGTTTTGATCTCGCGCCACGAACTGAGTGATATCTTGCTGGGAGCCACAATGGTACTGTCCTGGAACAAACATAATAAAACGTTCAATTTTTTAAAATTAAAAACAAGACTCATTTCTCCACGCTTTCCTACCACTGCAACTCCTGTATAGCAAGGATTTAGAGTTTGGTCTCCAATGAAACCCAACCAGAAAGATTTTAGTCCTGGGGGATAACAGCTACCTGTCTTGGAACCTGCAACGATTTTTTTATTACTGAAACAAAAGCTATTCTTTATAATCGTTTCAATTTAAGGCAGTTTTCAGACACCTGACAATGCGGATCAACACGCACTATCGGTATAAGGCCCGATTCGACCAAACAAGAGTAAATATTAATCTCAGAAAAATCGTCAGTTTTTGACATATTTCCCTTACTGAAACTGTCAATGTGTCAGTTATACCAGGAGTTATTCTCGGATAAACGTTTGGTCGAATAGGCCTAAGGCATCTAAAAATTGAATTCAAAAACTTCTCCGAGTTGCCGCGGGCTATAACGTACACGTTAATTAATCTCAAAGATAAGGTTTAGTGATCAAGACCAGTTGGCATACGACTCGACATGGATATCCAATGGTCAAGTACACTTGACATTTTGAGCAATTTGCATAGCGGGATAACACTCAATGGCATCTGGTTGTGCTATTACATTGCTATTTCTATCTACCTAGTTATTATAAGACAGTTTTTATTTTATTTTTAGTTTAACTGTCGCCTGGTTGAATAGTTTAAATGGGTACGTACTGCACTTTACTTAGGTTTGACTCCTGCTGGGGTCACATTGTTGCACAGTAACTAACATCTAACGTGTAATGATTGCCATGGGCTGGGTTGCAACATCTTACTTTAACTTTAACAAACGTCAAAAATGTGTGTCAAACTCCATACAAAAAGCATCGGTTGTCGTTATAGTTGCCGTTTAAGCTAGGTGATGTAACTCAGCCATAGTTTAAGCTCTGCTTAGTTTGTGAAGTTTGGAGCTAAGTAAGATGTTATTGTTGGACAAAAAAAGGTATTTTGCTGCAAAATAGTCGTATATTATACAAGAACATAAAATTCTAATGTTTACCATGATGTGGCGACGTTAATTATTTACAAATAGACAGAAATGCTTACCAAGTACCCACATAAGTATAATTAAGTTATTCTTATGCTGATTTAGTCTGGTATTTATTTCGCTAAACTTGTTAACAAATGCATAGGTGAAATCTCGAATACTTAAAATATAAGTACTCGTAATGCCTATACCTATTTAGTCCACAGTTCAGTGCTTACAAAATTAATCAACCAACAATTATAATTTTAGTTAAAAATATTGTTTTATTTTGTTTTGAGCATGTCACAAAAACATTATAATACGAGTAGATAGGTGTACAACCAAAAACTTCAAGAATATACTGAATTAATTTTAATTGTAATGTATTTCAATTGAGTGTAGGTAAAATTCATCACACTAATTGCTGGAACTGTCAAGATTTTTACCAGGTGGACCACTGTACTAACTACCACTTCGAACCAACTTAGAAAATATCAATTTATTTATCGACCCGACCAAGTATTGAACCAAAGACCCTATGCTTGTGGCGTCAGCGCCACTGCGCTATCAGGCATCATTATGCTACTGCACTTACAATCGCTACACCAATGTGCCACACAGGTGTTCTGCAAACGTGACTATAAACCAGCGGCAATAAAATATAGCGGCCGATTGTGGAAGCGAACAATGGCCATCGGAAGCGGCTGAATGGCAAGGACGCGCCACCAAGGCGAGCGATAACACTTTATTAATTGAGACTTCGTGGCGTTCCCTGCTATTGACGACAAAACTTCTTCAATGTCTTTAGGCAAAACATTCGTGACAGATTAAATCTCGCGATCGCTTCAAGTAGTAATATAAATACTCGTACGAGTACCTACTACAAAGGTAAAATGGCAATCGCTGATGCGCAGGTTAAACTAAGTAAACTAGTAGGACCACAAAGAATTTATCACGATGAAGATGAGATAGGTATGGATATGAACTGTTATGAGCATGAATATGTACGAGTAAGTGTATGTCAGTAGATAAACCTTTTTAAAGTATCTTCCCACGTGTGTCTCTACTATAGAATTGATTTCACCCTTCAGCTAAAGCTCTATGAGATTTTGAAAATTGTTTGACAAAGTTTCTGAGCTTTTTAGCTTAAAGAAAATAAATAAAGAAATTAGTTAATATTTTAATTTCCTAATAATGTTAATTTATTCAAGGCAATTATTGCTACGAAAGCCGGTCCAAGAACATACAACATCCCTTAATAAAGAAGGTTTATAGCACAGTGAAACGAAACCTTTACCTTTTCAGTAAAACCTCTATAAAAGGGTACAAAATGTAATTAAAACAATGGCGCTAAAACATTACGTTTCCGATAAGGAGTGATAGGGGTCATAAAGCAAGCATCACATATGCGGTCCTTCAGCTGACGTAACGACGCTCGCGCCGAATGTTAAAACCGTGAAAGTGTGTGAAAGCGCGCACCGGCTGCGCGTGCGACGCGCGCGGCTGCGGTGACCAAGCAGTAGCGGACATGAAGGGCTAGCAACACTAGCATGTTGGTGTCTAGGACGACTGTCGTTGGATCAGCATTATGTACCATACTGAGTATCATAGACAGCAAAGATTTTTTTTATTTCTGAATTTCGTGACATATTTTAAATCTTTGAATTTAATATCTTTGGAACTTTAGGTGCACTTTAAAATTATTGATGTAAAATTGTTACCACTATTTTCTATAACTTTTTACCTCATTTCTATGAAAGGTTACATCCAACCTATTGAGTAGGTAACTGAAAAATCTGAAAGCCTCAATGCTATTTCAATCAATCTTTTACGAGAAATACCACTGGCTGGCATTATAACTAAATCTTTCATTTGAGTATCTATGCAGCGAATATACAATGTAATAGTACGGTATCTATCGACATGACCATATCAAAAGTAATATAAATTATCAAATTACATTCATGTAAGAATGTATCCTGAAATAGCATCAAAATTTGTGGCCACCCCAGCGCGAGCGGCGCGCGCGTCGCGAGAGCCTGCAATTAATTTCAAATTGTTTAGCCGTTAGAGATGATTGAAAGTGTTCCAGTTTCAGCGATCAATTTTCACTTTTCTGTGCAACCACTAACTGCCGATTAGCACATTTTTGTGTTTTCACTGCGTCACACGATCTTCCCAGTGATTTACTAGCGTGAGGTGCAATAAACAAAACAATAATCGAAAATTTTTACCGTTAAAAATATATTGGCGCTCTCTTTCATGAGCTGAATTTATAATTGTAAATTAAAATAAACACATTGATGCATCGAGCATTAATTTTTTTTATTACTTCAAGATTTTATTTGTGACAGATTACTTTCATGTATTATTGAGATTTGTCTATTTTATATAATTATACTAGGAATAAAAAAGAACTATTTTCTTGAAAATACAGTAAGTATCATAATTATTATTTTTATGTGACTTAACGAAGGCATGTCCACCCACAACATGGACAGATGACCTAATAAAGATTTCAGGGAGCCGTTGGATGCAGGTCGCCTATAACGGGCCAATGTAGAAATCATTGGGGAAGGCCTATGTTCAGCAAAGAACGTTTTATGATTGAAAGAATGATGATGATACACAACGAAAAACACAACATTTCATGCCCCATTAATGCTAGTTTGACTAATTCTCGTCCACAAAACAATGCAATGTGACAATAATGATAAATTACAAAACGTACTGAATATTTTTCACATTGTGCCTAGAAAATGGGCACAATGTAACAAATCGCCATAAAAATAAACTTGATGAAAACTATGTTTCGGTGTCAGCTGTCAAGCGCGGGCGCAGTGATTCACCTGGTCGCGGCCGCGATATAGCTGTCAACCCGGCTTTGTTCGTGAGAACAAAGGATAAGTATAAAATGCATTGTGTCCGTCCACTATCAAAACACCATACAGTATACACACAGTTATTGAATAAAACAAATTGTGGAAAAATTGTGACCGTCACGTATTAGGACAAAATGTTCACATGTTCCAAATTATGATAGGTAATACGGTTTCGTTGACAATGTATTTCATAGTGCTTTCAAATGTCAAAATGATTCTTTTTATCTTATTTTTTTTAAGAGTATATACTATGAAAATAAGTAAGTATTCAAAGTTATAAATCCATGCCTATAAATTGCATAATACTCCACTTTGACAAGAAAAAGCTAGAACATGACCATAAACAAAAACTTGATAAATTAGTCATCAAAATTAGGCTGCGTGTGAGCTAACGACACAGCAAAGAACAGAATAATCAAGCAGCACCCAGCAAATAAGGACCGCTAAAAGCTGTGTACGTGGGTGTAAGTTTATATTAAACCAAATCTTATTCCAGTCCATTTTAGGTTATGTATCATATTTGATTCATTTGAACCAGTTAAATTACAAGCCTTCTTTCTTTACTCGCTGCATGACTCATCCGGTCGCATACATTTTATTGGGCTTTTTTTAATTTACCTTCACTCGTTACTTATTTCTAGGTAAAACAGTAGTCGATACGCAATATAACGAATGCAATAAAAATTAAATTACAAAATAAATCATTTTCCAACAATAAAAAAATCAGAAACCGATTTCACCTGTCACGAATGGTTTTCAGCTTAACATATGAATAGGCTGTGTTATTAAAAATGTATTACATTTTAAAGTTTCCGACATTTTAAGTCTCAATCATACACTTCAAGATTCTTTTTTCTTCATATTTGCCGTAATAAAATTAAATCCAACTGGAATTCTTAACTGATAACGCCGTATCTCAACGCCAACATCATTCAAGTTATTAAGAATCTCGCAATGTCACTTAAAGCCTCCATAAAAGGAGCGAAAATGTAATCCAACAGATTTACTGTAACACCTTCATCTCAAGTACAGATTTAACTGTAACACCTTCATCTCAAGTTGTACTGTCACCTGATAATGGTCGCTCTATTCTTGCAATGCGCAATAAAACTAAACAGTTTGTAATATTGCGACGAAATTGCGCGCCTGTGAATTATTTCTTGGAATGCTTATGTTTGAACTAAGGCGAAAACCTTACTTTGTTTAAGTTGGAAGAGTAAACTTATGGAAAAATAATATTTTCGTTAAAAATCCAACAAATAAAAACCTTTTGGTAACAACACGCAAAATATTAAATTAGTTAGGTAATGCTGAAATCAAAGAAAAATATTTTAATCATAAAGTTTTGAATAATAAATAACACCTGTCAAGTACATAATATTAAGATGCCAATATGTCATCAATAGAATTCACAGTATCAATCTAAACAACAGTTAAACTCGAAAAATGAATTTTTTGGATACTTAAAACTTATACTTAGTACAGTACTTAGATGCTGAAAACTTATTGAAATTCAGACGAAGTCGTAGACAAAAGTTAGAGCAACATGAACCTAGATTCTCTGTGTAATAGCAGCCACCGGTTGCCTCCATAATGTTACGAGATGTCTGTATACTTCTAACTTCTCAGAGACAACGGAGATTTATATTTCACGGATTTAACATTCCGAGAAACCTAATTAAAATATTTTCATAACTTATTCTAATGCGACTGATGCGATGTCACTCTTCTTGAGAAAAAAGAAACTACTTACAAATAGACCACATGATAGGTACGTTAAATTAAACTTGAAAAGAAGTATTCCACGTTAGCAGAAAAAACAAAGACATCAATAATGATAATTCAATGACAGCCAAGTTGTAATTGTAATTTTAAATTTATTGTTCTATTGACATTCGGTAATTTGATTTAAATTTAAATCTATTGTTTTTATTTAATTGACTTTATTATTATTATATTGACATGCATGATAACCTATGTACAATTAATCTTATAAGCGCTTTGGAATATATTCTGTTAGCTTGTAAGATGTTTGAATAATAAATAAATAAATAAATAAGTGAACGTACAAACTGATTATAGGTACTACTAGCAAAAATATTATGAAATGCTACTATCCCAACTTCGATACAAAAATTTAGCTTAAATGGTGCTGCAATTCATTAATACGGTGGTATTGTGGGTCATATTGCTCGACGTCAGACATTTTTGGAGAACGTACAAACTGATTATACTTCTAGCAAAAATAGGCTTAGGAACATTCTAGTTGAATCAAAAGTACATTCGAAGTAAATGACGACAATCTAAAATACAGGGGCGCCATTTCCTCTGTCTGCGTTGATGAATTTCAATGTAACCAAACAGTATTACGTCAAAGCGAGGAAATCCTTAACATGCGAAACATTATCGTGTATTACGCGACCTGACAGATACTGCAACTGAATATAAACAGCTGTTGCTAAACTTTCATAAATAAGTTAAAGTTTGGTACGTTTGATTTGTGACTATTTTTATTTGCACCTAACAACATGATATCTGTTTCTCCAAAGACTCAAAGTTAATAAAAATATTTTTATTTGTGTAGTTTTTTTTTTAAATTTGTTATTGTTTGTGTGTATGTTTATTTTCGAACCCGTTTAATATGGACTTTTAAAATTGTCTGAAATAAAGAATTTTTATTTATTTATTTTTATTATAACTTCGGGACTTTTACCCTCGGGCTTAGCACTTGGATCGTGCACCCCACACTTTCTTCTCCACATTACGCTAATGTTGCTCGTCTCTACCTTTGACTGCCCATTTAGGAGCGTATTCATAAACGACACTTGCTTAAGTGAAGCAGCAAATCGAACGTACAGCGTTGGATAGAGCTCTGTGATTGGTTCGTGTGTCACCCTGTGCGTCCACGCGCACTGTGAGACTTCAGAATAATGTTTGTGAATACAGGCGTAAGAATAGAAACCAATGAAATAAGCGGTGTTCAATAAGTTTACTGAAACGTAATAGCTCAATCGAATGCTAAATTACTGACCAAAATTATCCAAGACAAGGTAACCTTGCTGAAATAATACAATCATTACGAATTGAACCGTCATCGCTGCGCCCGCGCCGAACAAAGCCGGTAATGGCAGTGCCGGTTCCGCCGATTTGGCGCCGCAATGTTTGCCGGCAAATGGCCCAGAAACAAGTGGCTTAAGCTGGAAACATATTATCGGACGCGGCTGACGGACGCGGCTGACGGACGCGACTGATAAGTGTGCACAGTCTTTTGGGACATGACTTACGGACGTGTCAACGCCTTTATTCCACAAAGAACCGTTGACGAAGAAACATGTCAAGTAGTGAAAGTGAGGACGATTTTCTCGAATTGGCGGCGGCTTCTTTGTGTTGTCCACCCAGAAAAAAAATAAAAAGGGGTGTTTGGGTCCATGACATAAATAAAGACAGAGCAGAGTCTGGTGAATTCCACACTTTGTATCCTCATTTAATAAAAGATGAACGTCGGTATAAACTTTATTTGAGAATGAATGAGGACCAATTTAATTTTTTGCTAAATCTTATCGAAAATGACATTGAAAAAGAATTAACACAATTTCGTACTCCTATAACAACAAAAGAACGTTTAGTAGTTGCTTTGAGGTAAGTTAATAGGTAATAAAGTAAAATTATCTTTATTTATTTAAATATTTATTTATTTATAATCTTATATCTTTCATTATTTATATTTTTCTTTATGATTATAAATTCATTAAGCACAGCATGTGCTGGCCCCTTAAGATATCTGTGAGCGCCCTGCCTGCGCACGGATGTCTCCTCACTTGATTGCAATTCCGGGATCGAGATTTCCACGACAGCATCTTGCGTGTTAGATGTTAAAAGAGACTGAGACGTTTGTGAAGTGGAAGGAACAGGTGAGTTTGCGATTTGAGATGAAGATGAAGAATGAGGTACGAACTGTGTGGAAAAAACTTGATGAGTGACAGGGGGAGGAGGTGAGTATGCGATGTGGGGCGAAGGTGAAGACTGGGGTATAAACTGTGGGGAAGAAACTTGATGAGTGACAGGGGGAGAAGGTGAGTATGCGATGTGGGGCGAAGGTGAAGACTGAGGTATAAACTGTGGGGAAGAAACTTGATGAGTGTCAGGGGGAGAAGGTGAGTATGCGGTGTGGGGCGAAGGTGAAGACTGAGGTATAAACTGTGGGGAAGAAACATGATGAATGACAGGGGGGGAAGGTGAGTAATGAGTGTCAAAACTCTGAGATGAAGACGAATATAATGAATGAGGAGAAAATGTATGATTAGAAGCTTCATCATTTTCCAAACACATCTTCATCTCTACCTCGTGAACCATTTTCATAATATTAAATTTTATTCTAATCTGTTCTAATTTAGGAAACTTCTTGACAGTTTCAGCGATACTGTCAAAAAATAGGTCAATGTCATTTTTTTCAGATTTCCTCTGAGATCTAGCTTTCATCAGCTTTAGCATATCTTCGTGATAGGTATCTAAGTTCCGGGTTTTTTTTTGTTGACTGTTATTTGTAATGAAGGGTTCTTCGATTACATCTGCACCAGGCGATTCACTAGTTCCACCCAAGAATTCTCCAACTGGTGCTGCAATGGTGTTCCTATTTGCCATAAATGGTAACAAAAAGGCCATTTCCTCCTCAAATTTCCATTTTTTGAAATTCTTCACTCCTTGGCCGGTTACTGTCTTCCTCCTAGACATGGCATGGATGAACGCATTGCGAAGAAGGTTCCACTTTGTTTTGCACTCCGTAACTGAAAAAATAAATAAAAAGGTTGATTGAAAGCTAAATACCAGAGGACGTAAAAATTTTGTACATTGACCGATAGCGACAGAGAAACAGGACAATGTACGTCATTCTCAGTGATTGTGACCTCTATTAATTTTTTTTTTCAGGTTTTTTGCAACCGGTGAATCATTTCGATCAATAGGATTTAGATACAAAATGGGATTCAGCACAGTACGAAGTATTGTTCAAGATGTCAGTATTGCTATTTGGAAAAATTTAAAAGACATATTTATGCCAAAACCTACTAAAGAAAAATGGAAGGAAATTGCTAAAGCATACAATGATAAATGGCAGTTCCCTAATTGTATAGGCAGTTTAGATGGCAAGCACGTTATGTTGTTTTGCCCAAAAAATGCAGGGTCATCATTTTACAACTATAAACAAAGACATTCCGTGGTTCTTTTAGCACTGGTCGACGCCAATTACAAATTCATTTATGTTGATGTTGGCGCATTTGGACGTAACAGTGACGGAGGTGTATTCGCTCGATCAACACTAGGAATCTCTTTAGCCACGAACACTGCAGATTTGCCAGAAGATATGCCACTGGAAAATTGTGGACAACCCATGCCGCATGTTATTGTAGGAGACCAAGCCTTTCCGTTGAAACGATATTTAATGAGACCATATAGCAAAGAATCTACCTCCACCGACGTAAAGAAAAAAACCTTTAATATTAGATTATCTCGTGCTAGAAGAACCGTAGAAAACGCATTTGGCATTTTGGCAGCAAGATGGCGGATTTTTCATACTGACATTGCAGTTCAACCCGAATTTGTCGATAACATTATTTTAGCTTGCTGTTGTTTACACAACATGCTACGTAGCGACGAAGAAGATAATTTTTTTATGCAAGAGGAACAACCTTATGATTTACCAGAAAACTTTATGCCATTAGAAGGTACTCGTCAAAATTCAACCCAAGAAGCATTTGCTGTACGTGATAAATTTAGTGACTACTTTATTTCTGAAAATGGTATTCTGCCTTGGCTTAATGTAAACAGGAATTAAATTTTATTAAATAAGAAACTTGTGTCATTTATTTTAAAAATATCTATACTTCTAACTAAATAATAAATAAAAAATTTAAAAAACCTCGGACAATGTAATTCACTGTTTTGTGGTTGCGGCAAAAGTAATGTAAATCGTAATTTTGTGGTGGCTGTTTACTCACAATTGTAGTAAAAAACTGTACTTATCTACGAGCGTTTGGAAATTGAATAAATACTCACCCGTTATATTTAGTTCGGCGGCTATCTGCTCCCAGGCTTCTTGTTTTTTTGAAGCGTTTCTGTAATCCTTTAATTTGGGGTTATATAATAATTCCTTTGTGCGAACACACTCAATAATCCGTTCGTCCATCTTTACGTAGCGTACGTACGCACGTGCAACCTCTCACATAGCCCGCCTCCTTCTGACACACTGACGCGTCCCGCACCCCGTGCATACCGTCCGCGGACATTTTCGGCTGACAAGAACATCCAGCGCGCCAGATTTTTGTCGGACGTCCGAATGCTCAAGGTCAGCACAAGGTTGCGTCCACGACTTATGTCCGATAGTTTGCACAATTCAATGTTAATTCATTATCTAGATACCTATAAGTCGCGTCCGTCAGCCGCGTCCGTCAGCCGCGTCCGATAATATGTTTCCAGCTTTAAGCACGAATCGTTGGCTTGTCATTAGNAGGGATTTGCCATAATCTCCACGCTTGGCAGGCGGGTTGGAGATCGCAGTTTAAAAGATTGATGTTTTTCAGAGAGCGCTGCTGCCCGTTCTCTGTTTGATGTGTAGTCCCTAAGTCGCCTCTTACGACACCCGCGGGAAGAGTATGGGTTGGTGACAAATGTATTCTACTCCTACTAATATTGTCCTAATAAATAAATAACGACGTACTTATTTTCTACTTTTAAGTGATTGTTGGCGTCGGTTTTAATTTTTTTGTTAAAATTATTTTTTTTATGCTTTTTAGTTGATTAGTCCTTGTTATTGTCACTGAAGAGGGACAGTACCTATGTTTAATGTGATTAAGACTATAATTTTCCATTTTGTAATGGAAAATTATAGTCTTAATCACAATCCAAGAGTAAATAATCTTCCTAGCAAAATACAGGCTCCCTACTTTAAATATCGGCAACTAAAAAGTATCAATGTATCATGTGTCAATGTATGTATCAACAAATGAGTATTGAGTATCATCTAACTTCTAACTTATGTTGTTTGACCTTTCATCATCAGCTCATCTTAACCCAGATACTCCTGAAACTTTTTATCCTTGTCAATTTTTATAAATTTTTAGTATGTTTCTAAATAGAGGTCAAGTATCCACAGAAAAATATTAGAAAAATTCTTGGTCAACTGGAAAAGCCGGAAAATGGGTGGTGTTTTAACACCTGGTCGGAGAATGGACTACTACTACGAGAAAAAATTATACTATGATTTTGTTAGGTTTAAGAGTTAAAAACGAGTTGTAAGCTNAGAGAGTGTTTTTTTTCGAGACCGAACCAGGAATGAGGAGATTCGTAAACGAATTAAAGTCGCCTGACATAATTATAGCGATCGGATTAGCAAGCTAAAGTAGCAATGGGCAGGGCACATAGTACGTAGAACAGACGGCCGATGGGGAAAGGTTCTGAAGTGGAGGCCACATACGTGTACGTGTTTGTCGGGAGGCGCTTTCTTTTTTATCCAATTCCGGAACTAGAACCGGAATTCCGGAGTTGAGTGCCCAATATCGGAAATCAGTTCCGGAGTTGAAAACTATCCGATATTGCAAGCCCTAGTCATTAGTTGATAGTAAATTATGGTGTGTCTGAGCTTAACATTGTATGAAGTATCTGCTATATGAAAAAACAGGAGTTACTACTGTGTTATGCTTCTCAAATACAGAGTGTAAGTTGCGATTAAATGATCCACGACATCTGTAAGTACAAACATGAAAATAAGTACGAAACAAAAGTATGTAGTTGAGCGCGCACACTAACTCTATGTGATTTAAGTTGTGATGAAAAGTTCAATAAAAAGGGAACAAAATTTGCCATTTAGGTTTTGCCTAAAATAACCTATGCATCGGAGGCCCCTGATTTCTATACCCTTTTAATTTAAGAGAGATATTAATGTATTAGGTATTTAAATGTAGAGCTGCTTTCACGCTTAGTGACTTTAAACAAATGGCTAAACATTTGGAAACACTGATGTTTCGTGCTTCTGTCCTAACGACCCCATAGTTTTAACAACAAGAGCGGTTTATGATTAACGCAACCACGCGTTTGATTTGGCTGCGTTTGTCACGCTTGTTAAATCAAGGCTGTAAACTAAACTGGGCTTGAATTTGTGCTTCCATTTTTGAGAGGTGATGAAATCTAGTCGTAGTAATAATCATATTTTTTCATTGCACTATTGGTTCCACAATTTAACTGCAATTTTAAGGTTCCGTAGGTAATAAAAGTCCAAATTGCTTAATAGTGTAGTGCCTTAAAATAGGACAAACGATAATCTGTATGTATAAATCTGGCATTACATTCAAATTAATATTGATGTGGGTAATGATATACGTACATAATATTCAATTTACCCATTCGATCATAAAATGACTTGCAATTACATATCTATTACCTACCATCATTACGTCTTCGGGTCAGTCCATAATGATGTATGTAATTCAACAAAAAATATCAATATAACCATGAGTTACCTAACTAATGTCATTTTACAATGGTGTTCGGTAATAAATAAATTAATTACGTAAGTAGTCCGAGGATTTCACGGCTCGTAGGTACCTACGATTATGCTTCGATCGAGGCCAGGATCGATTCTTGGTCGGGACAGTAGTAGACTTTACTACTATTACCACAGAATAATAATAAGTACCTACTACGTACAGAAGTTTTACTTCGCGAAGGTATTTAAAAAAATGTATGCTCAATGTCATTAACAATATGGTGTGATTTAGCCTGTCTCAAGAGTCAAGCACCATTTTGTTGACAAACGTCAGTGATCGGCACTGCACCGAAGCTATAGGGCTGACTTCGGTAAAATGATGTGACGTGAGGTGCCAAACTGCGGAAAATGGCGGAGGAAATACATGATTTAGTATGAATTATCATGAATAATNACTTTGACTTTGACTTTGAGATTTGCTTTGCAATATTGAAATTTATGTCTGACGTGACGTGCTATTGACTAGCTATGTTCATAGAAAATTCTTTAACTCTTTAACTGGTATATTATACTTTTTATTAGTTTTGAACTTTATGTTACCTCACTAAAGTTCAAGGTAATGGTGGCATTAAGTCTGCCACCATCAGATAAAGGTTCTTTTTCATTGCCTTAATTTTCCAGAAAGAACCTCTACGTCTGGAGCCTGGAGACCACCAAGCTGATCAAAGTCCTAGACGCGCACTTCGGCAGGATTGTCCAGCTGGAACCTTTAACCGTTGGTTCCTGGAACAACGTCATCACTTCGTCCATAGACCGCACCGTCAAGATTTGGAACATAGATAATATCTTCGAGCAAGTCCATAAGATCGACCGGCAGGAGCTGCCGATTGACTCCATCACGTAAGGATTTTTTTACTATACGCGAGCCGATTAGGTATTTGATTCTCGACAAGTCATTGAAGAAGATTTAGTCATTGAATGGCTAAAAAGATGGGCTACGTCACTTGTGTAAATTCTTCCTGAATCTAAACGGTGGTTAGACAGATCGACCATTACCGTAATGAAAAAGGGCTACTATAAAGTCGATGATTATTTAAAAGATAAAAATGTTTGGGATACGTTACTGCCTAGCTCGAATAAATATTTATAACTTTGTACATTTTAAAGCATGTAAACCTTTGAAAAAGAGGCTGACAATAGTGACTGAGTTTCTTGCGCTGCTTCTTCTCAGCACTGGCCCATTTATTGTCCTGAAGCAGTGGTAGGGTTAATACTGGGACGTGTAAAAGTGCTTTTTTAAGCCTATTTACAGATATAAATGAGTTTTAATGAGAGAGAGTTTTTTACACTCGTCGCAGTTCCTAACGGGACATTGTAAATAACTGCTCTTAAAGGTTACTTATTAAAGTCTGGTCTGTAAGCACGTAGAATTATGTCCAATGACCCCAAGCTACTCATCCTTATCGCTCGCGCGTAATTATGTTTACTGTGCTATCGCGCTCGCACACTCACTGCGGATGCCAGTCGCAAAGTCGCGACGGGGTCAATGGACAAAATTCTACGTGCTCAGGGACCGGGCTTTAGCTAGGTATATCATCTGAGATCGATTCACGATCAAATTACTTGTCACAGCCTTGCAAGAGACAAGCAGCTAGCAGCAACTGTAACGAGAAGCTGCTGGGGCCTCTGGGACACCAGTACAGGGAAGCTCCTCGCTCAGCTGGCCGAAGCCCCGCTAGGGGCGATCGTGACGCAAGCGGTCATCACTCCAACTGGGGACAACGTCATCACGGCTGAGTCTGGGAACGTGGTCATTTGGGACACTCCTGAGAAACAGGTAATCTGGTGGCATATTAAGCTGAATACTGTATCTAACGTAGTGGTAACTAGTATTAATTTGCTACCAAATGGGCCATTCTTAAATTTGTGCCAATTTTTTTTTAAAAATTAATGATTTTTTTTTTTTTACTTTTTGCGATGTGTATCTGTTACTGTAAAAGCTCGAATTGCAGTAAATCCTAAGATATTCCAGTATAACCTAAGATCTACCAATTCCTAATGGTAAATGTCCCAAAAGGTTTGCGATTCGAACTCTTACCACCATTTCGTTGGTAAATCTTAGGATTTACATTAATGGCACGCTAAATGTTGAAAAACAAAACAAGCATTTTTGACAGGTAACAATCGGTCTTATCCTACGCATTGCACGAGCGCAGCCTTTTTGTATTGTTTAAATGTACGAACAATTTAAGAACTAAAAAGAAAGACCACGGCATCACTTTTCATTTAATACAATTAAACAAACCATGATGTCACTGCCTTGTTTTTCTTTAGCAACGTAAGATCATGTCATATAAAATACTAGTTTTGCCCGCGGCTTCACCCGCGTGAAATTTAATTTGTCACAGATCGTCATAAATTATAGCCTATATGTTATTCTGGGTTATAAACAATAATACTGTGAAGTTTCATCAAAATCAGTTCAGTAGTTTTTGCTTGAAAAGAGTAACAAACATCCACACATTAAACATAGGTCTGACTCGCGGTCATCATTGTCCGACGCGGCCCGAACGGAAAGTTAAAGTGTCGCCCATCATTGTCCCCCATGGCCCGAACGGAACAGTGCCATTTTTAGGCTGGCAGCGAAGGTGTTAAAAAAATAAACTTTGTAAGATATCAGGGCTAAAGAGAGGCCGCAGAGATAAAAAAAAAATGTTGCCTGTTTGTTCAGATAAAAAACAAACATCCGTTAAAATAAGACCATAATTCTATTTGCTTTTCAGTGGCTATCGTGTTTATGTAATAAACATAAAATATTTTATATTAATAAGTTTCTTTAAATCATAAATAAATCTTT